GGCACATAATCTACTTGGTGCAACTACCACCTCTGTCCGCCACCTTCAGTGGTCACGAACGTTTCCGTGTCGCCACAATGGCATCCGTACAGAACCCTCTATAAATAAACCCCGGATTTTTAGGACGTGTACCGAAATTGAAATTTTCCAATTCCAAATCGAGGGGTCGTCTAAAGCCCGTGTCCTATCACGTGATTAATAAATTGTGATTGGCTAAATCATTAAAGTAGTCGTTTTTAGATTATCAAATAATATCAAAAATGCATTTTCATTATTGCAGACTCTTTACAAGTTGAAAAGAAAATAATAAATAACAATACAAAATATATTAATATATTAATATAATAAACATATTCACATTTTCATTTCAAATATTTTAAAGTTTTCTTTATTGTTATAATGTCAAGTTTTTAACAAAAATTCTTAAAAAAAAAATAAAAACGGGTTAAAAATATATGCACATTAACCGCTTTTGTTTAATAACTTTTTTTATAATAAGTTTTGATCAGTGCCGGATCAGCATTAGATCAGCAAAGCTTCTCGTTAGAGATGAGCCAAACAAATGGGTGCTTCCATGATATACCTATTCATATGAAAATTTTGTGTAACAAGATCATCAATAGGGAACTTCTGTAACACAATTTTTATCTCCACCCTTCTTTTAAATAAATAAAAACATAAAACAAAACAAACGAAACGAGCGGAGACTTGAATAGTTTCTTCTCGGTAAGGGTCCTGTTGATTAGGTAATTGAAATAAATGATACAATTATTTATGTCACTGAAGCAAAACGGGAAGATCTCAGTTACGTTGTTGGTCAGAGTACAGTGCAAGCACATTCGATACAATACAATATAAAGAATAGAAAGCGCACATATGATGAAGCTGATTTGGATGAAAGCGAGATGTGTTGTATTGTTTCAACTGGTATGTTTATATAACTATTTTTTTTTTTATAAAAATAACTGAAAAAGTAGATATGTTACTAGTTCTTGTTTTAATATTAGGTGTTGATTGGATAATAACAAAAGTAAAGAACAATAATGAAGGTCAAAATAATGATGGAAAGTTGGAATCTCTACATATTCACCAGGCCTGAACCATTGCCCATCAACAGCCAACCTTTAATCCGTGATCATTTAATTAAGCCAGTTGAAGATCTATTTGGGAAAATCAAGTGAGCTTTTGAACAGCAAATAAACGAATAAAAGTTTAAAGGGAAATAAATATAGAAATTTTAGATTAACGTTTGATTGTAAATAGTAATTTAGTGTTACATATCAAAAAAATTAATAAAGCACATTCATGTTCACATTTGGTTTTTGTGAAGTGTTTGTATACAAATTCTTCCAACAATTGAGACGATAAGCTTCTTCACAATAATCGCCATCGCCGTACTCCCCTTTTATACTATCTCTTATTTTATGCTTTTCATGATCTTTATTACATATGGGACATATTGCTTAACAAGTAAAGTTATCGCCGTACTTATTACTGTATTTAAATGATAAATCAGAGAACTGAACTGCTCTAATGGATGTATTTACTTTTATGGTTATCTCTGTTTTCTTTTTGCTATTTAAGTTATAATTATTATCCTTATCCTCATCACCATCAGAGGATTCCAAGTTAGAATCTAAAGAATTATCGGGCATACTTACCTCTTCCTCGGGTAAAGATTAGTCTTTCTCACTTACCTCATTTTCTGAATTAGAGGTATGATATGATGGGATAGAGAGATTGGTTGGAATGCTCCAAATTCCCAAAATTTTCATCTGCTGAATTATTATTGCAGATTCATGCAGAAGCTTCTTTTCCCGATTTCTCTCCTTATCTCGTTACTAATCCTTTCCAATCCAGAAAATCTTCTTTCTCTATATCTTCTAACGATTTAGGCTCCTTGTAGATATGTTGAGAATTTGATATCACAGGTCAAATACAAAAGAATAGACGGATAGAATAGGAAAGAATAGGATGGTCGATTTAGTTTTTATATACTTAGGAATTCCGATTTTTGGCGTTTTTTTTTTGCTTTTGACTAGTGTATGTTATTAGATGTGTTATTAGATATATTATCAGAAGTATTTTCTATATGTTCTGGGGTACTATCACAATTTACACGCCAAATACAAAAGAATAGGCGTACCCAAAAGGAATAAGTAGGACAGTCAATTTTATCCAGTGATTCGAAACATTCCGGGAATATTGTGAAAATCTGGAATATTGTGAATTTTTTTTTTTCGGAAATTTCGAGTGTCGAAAATTTCCGAAATTGAGTTAAAAATTTCGCCTATTAAAATTTACTGATGACAAGTACCTATCCGATAGACTTACAATATATGATGATACTCCGTCATCTGATATAACCGGAAATTTTCAATATTCCAGTAAATTACTTAAAAATTTTCAATAATATTTTACAAAAGATGAAGAGAAAATATTTCACTGGTACTTGAAATCAGTTGAAAAAGGAAATGTCGATGAACAGAATAAACTTGGTATTGAAACTACAAAAGATGATGAGAAAGCATTTCAATGGTATATAAAGTCAGCTGAAGGGGGAAATAGTGGTGGACAATATAGTCTTGCGAATTGTTATTTCTATACTACCAATGATAAAAAGAAAGCATTACGTTGGTACCTGAAATCATCTTAAGGAAGAAATAAATTTGTATATATCTTCATTCGAATAATCTTCACCTATCCAATAATCTTAAAATTTTAAAATATTCACAAAAGTTATTATGTTATTTAGTAGATATTATTTAATATAACTGTAAATTTAATATTACATTTTTTTTTTAAAAAAAAAATGTTATGTATACACGTAAGCTGCAAAATAATTGTCTAGATTTATAATAGTAAGTTAAATTTCTAAATTTAGAGCGCGTTATTTGTTAAAAATAAGAATTTTAAAAATAAAAAAAAACCAAATTGTAAAATTGTAAAATGCACAGTAATCTGAATAATTATTTTGATCAGTAATTGTTGTGTGATGTACCACCAAAAATATTAGATGATAAAAAGGAAATACCAAAAATAACAAAAATTTAAATTTAAATTACCACAACATAAATAATGAACAATGCGACTAAATATAAATATTCCCAGTTTCATTCCTTCTTGTTTTTCCAGATTTCGTTCGTCTCGTTTTTTTTTTAAAAAAATAAATACATAAAATAAATAAAAATGTGGAATAAAATTATTTTATTATTTTTATTATTTCAAGGTAATAATTGTTATATATATTGAGATATGTTGTTGAAGACACGTTAAGCTATGATATTAATGTGACTGTTGAGCTAATTCTGTATTATATATATTTTTTTTAAATAGTGGTAAAGTGTAGCACACATTGTCCATCCGATACAGATTATTGTTTTACTATCACACCTCCTGATAAGGATTTGCAAGAAGACCAACAATATGTAAACTTTAAATTAGTAGCTCCAAAGGATGTTGGGTAAATTTAATTCAATTTATTATTAATTTTATATATTTAATTTATTATTAATTTTATATATTTTAATTTATTATTAATCTTAATATATTTAATTTATTATTAAGATGGGTTGGAATTGGAATTGGAAGTGGAATGACATCATCATATTTAATTGTAAGTATAATAATCAATTAAAATTTCAGTTCCTACAAATTTCAAATTACAACGATCTCAAATTAAACAAATCTCAATTATATAAAATTTTATAGGTTGCATGGCCGAATAAGGATGGAACAGTTACTCTCTCTCAACGTCAAACGACATCTTATAGTGAACCAAAAGTTACGGAATATCAAAACGACCTTATTAATATGACAACAACAACTAATGGTGATGGGAAATTAGAAGTCAATTTTAAACGTCTCGTAAAAGTAACCACGAATACTATTCCTAATAATGGAGATTTCGTATGGGCAATTAGTAATACTCCAGTAGATAATTCTGATCCTAGTGCAACTATTAAGATTCATTCAAAAAAAGGGGTTATAAAAATGAATTTGGCTGAAGGTGATACTTCTTCAAACTTAACTCGTAATGATAAATTAATTATTGCTCATGGTAAATTTATTTATTTATATTTGTATTTATTTACATACATATTGTTATATTTCATTTATATTATATATATCTTTTTTTTTTATTGTTATAATTAATATAACCTTTTTTTCTTCATATATATATTTATAGCTATTATAATGTTTATAGCGTGGGGTATAGCTGTACCAGGTGCTATTTTCATTGCAAGATTTGCCAGAAATTTATTACCCAAAGTTTGGTTCCATTTACATTGGTCAATTCAAGTTTTCTTAACTACTCCTTTAGTAATTGTTGGTGGTATATTATCTACTTTGGCTGTAAAGGGTCTTCGTTTTGATGATCCTCATAAGGTATTTATTAATTAATTAATTATTTATTTAATTATTTATTTATTTATTTTATTATTTAATAATTTATTTATTCATTATTCATTATTTTTTGATTTTTATTAATTATTATTTGTTTATTATTATTTTTAAAAATAATTGAATAATTATAGATTATTGGATCAATTCTGTTTATTGGATTATTTACTCAATTAACAATTGGTGCAATTCATCATAAATTATTTGATCCTAACAGACAATATGTTCCTTGGTGGACTCAACTTCATTGGTATATATAATCATTATTATCATTATTATATTATTCTTATTATTATAACATCATCTTTATTTTATATTATTTAAATATCATCTAACATAATCTTTATTTTATATTATTATCAGGTGGTTCGGTCGTGCCCTTGTGATTCTTTCAGTATTCCAAATTCCACTTGGTCTTTCTTTATATGGAGCTAGAATGGAATTCTTCTATGCTTATTATATATACATCTTTATTTTATTGCTTGCATTCTCTCTCTTGTCAATTAGATTATGGAATAAAAATCATGGTGTTAAGGAAACTTCCGGATTCAGAAGGATGGAAACTGATGATAATTAATTAATTAATTAAGTTATTTTTTTTTATTTAATAATAATATAAATATATTTTTTGGGAGGGGGATTTTACTTTATCATTATATCAATATATGTAATCAATTTATTTGTCAATATAAAATTTATATAAGATATATATAATAATCTGTTATTTTTATTGATAGTGTATTATACATTTTAAACCATTAATTATTAAATGTTTATTTTTGAAATCATTATAAGATCTTGCTAGAATAATTTTACTGATTTTTCATATATTTTGTTTGTATGTTTTATATATACATTTCATTTAAAACTTATTCTATTATCATTAATATTATATAATTTATTCAATATATTCAATAATATGATTTTCATCAATTATACAATATATATTCAGTTTTATACACTTTCTATAATAACTTTATCTTTATTACTATTAATATTACGTTGTTTGAATCGAGTAGAACGTCTTTGACGATTTGATTGTTGATTTGTAATATGTGATCCTTTATTAGGACAAGTATTTGCATAATGTCCAATTCCTCCACAAGTAAAACATCTTGAAGGTAAGAATCCAACAAATCGACGATTAGTATTTGTATTAGTATTAGTATTAGTATTAATATTGGTATTAGTATTGGTATTATTTTTACTGATTAAATTAGTACCACTATTAGAAAATGATCGAGATGAACTATTGGATCTTGAATCATCACCAGTATTATTTGTATTATTGGTATTATTGGTATTGTTTGTTGAGAAATTTAACGATCTTGCATTTGTTCGTAATGAATTTTGTTGTGATCCACTATTACGATTATTTCTATTACTTCCATTACTTCTATTAATAATAATATTATTATTATCATCATTATTAATGGGTGATGATGATGTACGTGTATTGCCTTTGTGTCGACGTTTGTTCTTACAATATTGATTGGATGAACGACGATTTGGTTTCGCAGGAACTTGTTTGTTAAGATCTTTGACATTTCTTTCATTTGTATCATTTGTAAAATTTCTTTCATTGATTTCACTTGTCCCGTTTGTTTGTGATTGATTTTGATTAATCAAAGAATTCAATTTAGTATTTGATGAATTCAACTTGTTATCTGATGTATTTGTTAAATTAGAATTAATTGAATCATTGGAATCCGATGATGTAATATTAGTAGTTGTTGTTGGAGTAGTAGTAGTTGTTGTTGTTGTTGTTGGAGTAATAGTTTCAGTGGATGAAGTGATTCGAAAAAATAATGTCTTTTCCCAAAGAATATGACGCGCTTGACTCATTCGTTCTTTAGCTTCATCAGGAAGTTGGAATGTTAAAAGAAAATCTAATAACTTTCCTGCAGTAATTGCTGAATCATACCGTTTTTGATCTTGAGCCTTTTCAAATTCAATAGATTGCCAATCATCATCATCATCACCTTTAAAAACACTTTTAATACTTTTAATTCTTTTGGTTGAATTATTTGTTAATGATATATTTGTAGTAGAATAATTATTTGTAGAATCCTTATGATCATAATGAAATTTGATAAATTTTGCTTGGAAATCAGATTTCAAATCGGCAATACATCTCATAATTGGATCAACAATTTTTGCGATATTAACATCTTGTAATTCATTTTGTTGTTTTCGAAGTGATGAAATATTTAACATCGAAAATCCTGTACCATTGTGATGATGAACACGACGACTTGGTGATGATGATGATGGAACTAACACAGGAAGGATATTATTGTCATTATTATTATTATTATCATCATCATCATCATTCGATTTTGAATTAATCATTGATGGTAATCTTGGTGGTAAAGATGCTGTCGATCCATCTTCACTTATATCTGATGCACTATCATCTATTTTATCCTCTTCATCTACTACCAAAGCATCTTTGATCTCATTCACAGACTTAATTTCATTATTATCGTTATTATCGTTATTATCATTATTATCGTTATAATCTTTACTGTCTTTAATATTGTTAATGTCATTAATATCATTAATGTCATTACTGTCTTTAAAGTCATTATTATTGTCGTTATTCTCATTACTAATCCCATTGATATTCTCATTATTATTATTATTATTATCATTATTGTTTTCAACGTCATCACACCATTTTAAACTTTCACTATTCTTAACAAATTCTTCTGGTATATCATGTTGTTCAATTTGTTCTTCTGATTCATTTTTTTCTTCATTAATTTGAGAAATAGAATGATGATTATGATGATCATCATCAGAATTATCAAGAGAAGAATTTTGAGAATTTTGTAATATTGGTAAGTTATGATTTGCATCTTCTTCGATACCAATTTTTTCTTCCAGGTTAAGTGGCATTATTTTTATACGATGTTTCAATTAAAGATCAAATTAAAATATTATAAAATATGATAAAATATTACAGAGAAAAAAAGGTGAAAAATGAAAATGAAAAAAAAAATGAAAGTGAAAAGAGGAAGAAAGAAGTAATTAAAAAAAAAAAGTCAATCAATTTTATATTATCAATAAATATTTGGAATTAATAATAAAGTTAATAAAAAGGATGTTGTCAAACTTTCGTCATGGAATTAATGAAAATTGCATAAATTATATAGAAAACCATTTCCGAAAAATATAAATTTAAGCTCAGATGTGAAGCATTTTTTATAAACTATTATATCATCAATTTTATTTTTTTGGCTCTTTTATATGGATGGATATTAATGAATAGAAAGAATGGTAAATCTTCCAATTTTGAAAAAAAAAAACATTTACAGTAATAATACAATAACGATAATACAACAACAATATCACAAATACAATAATAATTAATAAAGTGAAATACCAAAAACAAATTAAAATTGTTTCTTTTATTTATTTTCTACTCTCTGTCTTTCTGTTCTTCTCCAGGAATTGTTTAATTGCTTCCTCTTTGACTAGTCTTCTATAATCTGGTCCTTCCAAAGTCTCATCTCTCTAATAAATTAATTTTATTTAAATTTTCCCCTTCACTTTCTTCGATTTTTTTCCAACAATATGATTGGTTAAAAATCACGATCAATATGAATAATATCAATCCCAATATGAAAAATCCCAAAATTATCAAAATTACCAAATTGTGATTCAAAAAATTTTGAAATGAATTAAAAATTGTTATTGGAAAATTTACATTCAATATTATTGATATTAAACCATCATTTATTGTACATGAATTTCTACTTAAGAAATATAACAATAATAAAAGAAATGTTATCCTAAGTATTTAAATATTTATATATACACATATATAAATAAATTAAATAATATATAAATAAATAAATGAAAATATCGAAATTAATGAATGATTTTTCATCAGAAATTATTATTGAAATGAATAAATAATTACTTACATTGTAAACCAGAATTTTCCTTTGATAATGTTTATTTTCTAAAATATTTTACGAAACACAGCACAAGGCCAACATGTATAAATCAGAGTTGAAGAGAGAGAGAGAGAGCAAGAGAGCAAGAGAGAGAGAAGAATGATAAAGTGTATGAAAGGTGAAAATGAATGAGAAAAAAAAAAAGAATTATTTTTTGAAAATAAACATACTTCTTAATTACCTTATTTTTACGTCGACCTAGTTCATCATCATTTTTGATCGTTCTTGCTATCGTAAAATCATTAACACTATCATTTACTAATGTATTTTTATTAATCAATGAACTATTATTATCATTCATCATCTGATCTTCATTTATTTCATTATTTGTCGTTAATCCTTTCATCTTAGAAACAGTAACTTCTGACGATGATGAATCGTTGTCATGATTATTATTTATTAACGTGCTGTTGCCATTTATTAATATTCTACTTTCATCACCATCTCCATCATCATTATCATTTGTCATCTTACTTTCATCTATATTATTATTATTATTATTATTGTTATTGTTATTGTTATTATTATTATTATTATTATTATTATTATTATTATTATTATTATTATTATTATTATTATTATTATTATTAATTGTCATCGCTATTTCTTTTCCTTCTTCTATTTCAACTTCTGATGATGTCGTCAATAAATCATTATTATTATCATTATTATTGTTATTTACCGCCCAATTGACATTACCATCATTTTTATTATTTTTGGTGATCATTCTTACACTTTCTATTTTAAAAGGTGAACCATCTTCCGTACACTCGAAATTCTCGAAAATTCGATTTTGAAAATCTAATTTATTATTGTTGTTATTATTATTATTATTATTATTATTATTATTATTATTGTTATTACAAGATTTAATTTCATTCAATTCAATCTTTAACTTTTTGATTTCATTTTTTAACTTGGAATTTTCAACATTTATAAATTTATTATCAGAATTCCACTTAATCTTCTCTTCTTTCAAATTTTTGTTTTCAAATTTCAATGATTGAATTTCTTTAACTAATTCATTCACATCCTTTAATTTTTCAAATTCACCTATCATCAATCTTAATTTTGATTCCAAATTATTATTAACCTCTTTTAATTTTTGATTGGTTAATTTAATTTTTTCATTCTCGCCTCGTATTTTAATATCAGTAGATTCGAAATTCTTAAGTTTAGTTTTTACCGTATTAAATTGTTCATCTTTGTTATCAATCATCTCTCGATAATGTTCCTCGGATATTCTGATTTGATCATTTATCGTGATCATATCATCTCGGAATTTAAATATTTCTTCAATTACTTGATTATATTCTATTATTTTATCTACCAATATATTATTATCTTCCAATAAAGTCGAAACTTTTTGATCAAGAAGTTTTATAGAATCCTCCTGACTTTTATTATAATTATCTTCCGAGATTGTATCTGTATCATCATCATCTTCCTCTTCTTTTACTTTTTCTTTTACTTCTTTTACTTCTTCTTTTACTTCTTCTTTTACTTTTTCTTCTTTTACTTTTTCTTTTACTTCTTCTTTTACTTCTTCTTTTACTTCTTCTTCGTTTGCTTCTTCTTCTTTTACTTCTTTTTTTACTTCTTTAACTTCTTCTAATTCTTTCCCATTCTTCTTTCCAATTACTTTGTTATTTTTAGATAATTTCTCCAAAGAATTCTTGACAATTAGTGGTTCATCCAATAGTTTTTTAAGATGATCAACTAATTTATCAATTTCTTCATTTTTTAAACGAGGCAAAGAATATTGTTGAATTGATGATGATGGTTTTGATGATGGTGATTTTGAAAAAGTTGATGATTGTTCGGTTACATCAACAAATTTGTTTCGACCCATTAATCCATTCTTATGTTGTAACTTTGTCTCTAATTCCTTGATTTGCAACTCCAAACGTTCACATTTATGTTTATATTCATTAACAAGTGCAGTGGAATCATCAAGTTTTCGCGAGTACTCTTTCAAATGTTCTTCTATCATTTGCTATGAATTTTCAAACACACAATAAAAAAAAAGACGTAAGATAAATAAGATAAAAAAAAAAAGAAAAGAACTCTCGTCTCAGCATTTTTTGTTTTTTTTTTTTCTCTTGCTGAATATATTTATTTACTAAATATGATATATTAGTGAAAAGAAAATAACTAGTAATAAAAAAAAAAAAAATAATAATAATAAAATAGTAATAAAAATAAAAATAAAATAAAATAATAATAAAATAGAATTGAACAGATCATCACCTTGCCAGACATTGAATCCAAAGTATTGATTATGGAACTCAATGTAATGTTTAATTCATCTAATTGACGTGACTCTTCTCGACTATAAATCAATTCGTTCTATATTTAACATAACAGAAAAAATGTGCGTGTGTGTAATATATAATGAAATATAATGAAATATAAGAAATATAATGATGTAATGAAACTAATAATATAATAATAACCTCTATAGATGATATAACAAATGGATTTCCATTCTTTATATTATTGAACATCTGGTATTTATAAAATAAGATAAAAAAAATATAATATAATTAAGAAATAATTAAAATAATAATAATAATAATAACAATAAATAATAAACCAGGTATTATTACATACCGAATTACTTGATTTTGAGTCCATGGATCCATTAATATTATTAATATTATTAATATTATTAATTGTAGCTTTGTTAATTGTGGAAGAGGCAAAAGAAGGATAAATATAAACGGTTGCAGCAACTTTTCTAAACATTAATTTACGATCATTTTCATTCAGAATGTCAATTCCGAATTCCTATTAATTAAATTTAATGATTATATTGATTATTATTAATTATCAATTTTATTTATTGGTTATTAATGAGTTTTTTTAATTGACAAAATTATATATATTTATATATATATTACTAATGTATCCATCATCTTCAATTCGATTGGGTCGCTTTCTTTTGTTTCCAAACTAATTCGATGACCATTTATATAAGTCCCATTACTTGATTTCAAATCTTTAATATAAACCTATTATTTATTTATTTGATTTATTATTTAATAGAATAAAAATTTCCAATAAAAAAAAAGAATTTATGAATTAATAAAATAATAATAAAAAAAAAAAAAAAAAAAAAAAAAACTTACTTTTCCGTGTTCACTCCAAATCTCTGCATGAGTTCTGGAGAGAACTTTGCTATCAAAATATCCATTTATTTCGGTTGGAGCTGTATTCTTATTGGTTGTACGTCCAACCTTGATAATTGTCCCGGGAACCAAAACGACCCTCTTGGTAGTAAAAGTATCGTTTAATGGTTCAAGTATTAAAGTAATACTTGAAGGGACAATTGATGACATTGAGGTAGCATTTGAGGAACTAGGGACGACTGAATTATTATTATTATTATTATTATTTGAATTAGTAGTCGTTGAGGGAACAGGAAATGAATTATAAAAAAAATTAGAATTATTCGAAGGTAATGGGGATATAAATGATATAGGTAAATATTGAGGTGATTGTTGTTGTTGTTGCTGTTGTCGTTGTTGTTGTGAACGTAATGAAGAACGTAATTTATTAGTGGTCATTATTTGCTTGAATAACTTGTTTTTTTTAAAAACCCTTTAAATAATGTGATTTAAAATAAACTGTATATACGTAAAAAAAATGCTGCTCTTATTTATATTTATATTTTTGTTTTTGTATTCTTTACGTAAATCTTATGTAATTTATGGAATGTAGAAGTTTATTGAAAATGGTAAAAAAGCATTCTAATTATCATTATGAAATCAGATGATCAAATTCCCCCACAATCAAAATTGATCATCCAAATGCTGAAGGATTAAATGTCTCTATTTGGCACTGAGTTTTGATTGATCCCAATTTTTGAAGATATCTACAATTTCCGCAAGTCTTTGAAGTGTAATGTTTATTGCAGATTAGAATTTTACATTAAGGGTACTCTCTCTTGTCTCATAATAAGACTATCTCATTTTTTTTTGTCTCAAATTCAACAAATTCTATCATTCTCAACTACTATTCTTGAAGAATAAACAATTGAAAATGTTCTGACTCTTAGATTTAATACATATATTTCTTTACCTCCAAAATAAGGTTTTGATTTTTCTTGAATTTTAGTTTCTTGAGATATTCTTTATGTATAAAATATAATGTATATTTTTGAAAATTACATCAATGTGTAAAGGATGATTCATAATAATATATGACAAATAGTATTTCACATCATAAGAAATCACCAATAAATTACAATAAGAATAAGAATAAATTAATATCATATATTAAATAAATTAAAATATAAATTAAATTAAAAAAAAAAAAAAAATTATTGTTCAATTTTTTGATATTCTATATATTTTATCAGAAACTTTAGCAACATCAAGCATTTCTTTAACATTATGAACCCTCAAAATATCTGTACCACCAGCAATTGCTGCACTACAAGCAGCTGCAGTTCCCCAAACTCGTTTTTGTGCATCTGGTTGGTTAATAGCTTTCCCTATAAATGCTTTCAATGATGGACCAACTAGACATGGAAATCCTTCAAATGGGCTATCATTTCCATTCAATTCTTGTAATCGATTAAGAATTTGAAAATTTTGATCAAAATTTTTGGCAAATCCTATACCAGGATCTATAGTTATATTCCATCTTCTAACACCTGCTTCAATAGATCGTTGTACTCTTTCAAATAATTCTTCGCATATATCAGTAATAACATCATCATATTGATTTAATTTGGTCATAGTTTTGGGATTACCTCTCATATGTTGAAGACATACTGGAACATTGGTTTTTGCCATAACTTGATACATATTAGAATCTAATTGTCCTCCTGAAATATCATTTATGAAATTTGCTCCTGCTTCTATAGCTTTTTCCGCAACCACTGCACGAAATGTATCAATAGATATTGGTACATTTGTTATTCCTTTGGCACGAATTGCTTTTATTACTGGAATCACTCGAGCAAGTTCTACTTCAATTGGTACATCATCAGCATTTGGTCTAGTGGACATTCCTCCAATATCTATTATATCTGCACCTTCTGATATTAATTTTTTAGCATGTTCAACTGCTGATTCTGTATTATAATATAATCCACCATCACTAAAACTATCAGGAGTAATGTTAAGTACACCCATAATAAATGTCTTTGAATTCCAATCCCATTTAGAATTATGAATTGGTAATATTTTTTTTACAAAATTTTCTGAATTGTAATTGGGAGATTTTAGATATTGAGAAAATAATTGACCACATGTTCTATACAATTTGGGATGTTCAAATCCTTTGGCAATACTAAAGTAAGGAAATAATAAGTGAAAATAATAAGTGAAAATAATAAGTGATTGAAATATATTTTATTTTATTTTTTTTTTTTTTAAAAAAAAAAAAAAAAAACTTACTCGCATAGTGGTCGTAAAACAAATTCTCGTTCACTTATTTTCGGATGTGGTATTGTCAATGTATCGGAAGAATATTCAATATCATCATAAAAAAGGATATCCAAATCAATAGGTCTTGGTCCATATTCCATTGTTTTAACACGTCCCATATCAGATTCAATATTTTTGAGTTTAATTAACAATTCTTCTGGTGATGAATTTGTTGCAATCTTTAAAATTTATTATTAAAACATTATTATTAAAAATTTTATCACTGAAATAAATAAATAAATTACTTTGAATTACCTTACACGCGGCATTTAAGAAATTAGATTGATCAGAGTAATACATTGGTGAAGACTCATATAAAAATGAAGTATCCAAAATTTTACAACCAAAAGATTTCTCCAATAGTTCTAAAGCTTCATTAATATTTTCTACAAGATTACCCAAATTGGAACCAAGACCAATAAAAGCAAAATGACTAAAATGACTATAATCATTTTTTAATTTCATTGTTTTTGTGTTTAAATTTTTTATAGTTTCATCACCCAAATTTCTTCCTTTCAAAGAATTTAATCTTGGTTGTGAAATAGTTAAAGTCTCATCTGGGAAATGACCATCAGTTCGGGTAATTTCAATTCCCGCTGATTTTGCGAATATCAAAGCACTTGGTTTCTCAACACGAACCGTTATTTTTTTAACATTACATTGTGTTATAGCTATTCTTGCTATTGCAGTAGAAAATGCTTCTACTGTTTTATAAGAAGATTCTTCAACATGCTGCATTAAATTCATTAATAAATTCATCAATAAATTTTATTAATCTTATTATTAATTATATTACAGCTCAAAAGATTGAAGAAAACCCCAATACCTTTGATATCGTTCTTACAATTGTTCGATAATTATGTGGATTGATAACGTGATCTTTTTGTAAAGTTCCAACGCGAAATTTAGGATAAATGGTGAAATTCAAAATTACTATTTGCTTTTCTTCTCGCTCCCAAGGATTAACGCCAATAATTGCATTCAATTTCAAATCCTTAACAAAAATAATATCTTCATGACTTTCAGCAGAAACAGGAAGTACATCTGGAGTAGATTCTATGTGAGCATAATCTTCTTGAGTACGCGTTATTTCCACACCCGCAGAATCTGCATGTAGTAATGCGCGAGGCTTCTCCACACTAACTGTTACCTTTGGTGCAAAACATTTGTTTATACAGACTTTTGCTATACCGTCAGCCAAAGCTTCAACCGATTTATATGAAGACTTCTCAGCAAATTCTGTTACAACCTTAGAAACTGTACCATAATTTATGGTATCAGTAAGTTTATCAGTTTTTCCGGCTTCAGAAATGTTTTTTTGAATAATCATATTTATTATCACAGGTTGGCGTTTTACGCGTTCCCAAGAATCAACACCGATAATATTTTGAACAACTAAATCTTTGACAATTATTTTATCCATTTGGGAGCCAACAAAAAGTTTTGATAATCTCATTAGCCGCATCATTTTAGTAACCTAATATATCAATAGTCACATGAATTTATATGTTTTCTGAGGAAAAAAACTCGGGTATGATTTACATTTTTGTGTATTTTTAGTGCTATAAACACCGTCGGCTATTAAATATGAAACGTAAAGTAAAATTAAGACGTTTTTATAAGAAATTTTATTAATTTAAAGCAATTTTTTGCTTTAGAAACGTGTATTTAGTGATATAAGAAAAATGTTAGAGAGTCAAAGAAAACCATTTCGGGAATTGCTTGAAAAAGAGTTTGATAAACGTGGGCAATTCAAGTTTGCATTATGTTCTCTTACAAAACTCCTTATAGATGACAAACCAGGAGATAAAGAAAAAGATAAGAAAAAGAACTCAAGAACTGATTGGTTACAAAATAAACAAATTATAGTTTATAATCGATCAGAAATAGCTAATTATTTAAGTGATGCTTTTGAATAAATATTACATCAAGTAGAGGAAAATCTAATTTATAAGAATATAATTTGGTGGTAATATAGTATCTGAATTACTATGCATGATACAAATTTTTTAATATACGCTATTTTCTGTGTATCAAAAAAATTACTATAATAAAGTTTCTTAGGTGTATTATGAAAAATATAAGAGTACTATCTAATGTGGATTCTTATTCATATAATGCATCGAGATCCTCACTACTTATTTTTTCTGTAAGCTCAGAGAGCCATTGCTCTGCAATAGAGTTACTGGTATTAATTAATATTTGAGCTATTACTAGATATTGGAACAGATACGTGAGCAGATTTAGATCTAGATTTGGAACTAGATTTGAAACTTTGATAATTCTATAACTGAAGTTCTTATAGTTTTTGATGGTCAAGACCCTGCTAAAGACATTCAGTATGCTCCCATATTTCATATACATGATGGACACCAATTTGGAATTTTTCTGCCATCCTCTTTGATACATTTGGTATTTTTCCTCTCAAATCTCTAATTTCCTTAATATCAGACTCTGATAATTGAGTTGCATTAGATCAATAGAAGTTTTGATGAAGGTGGGTAACCATTTTTAAGTTAGAATGTATTTTGCTAAAAGTAGTTAAGAAAAAAAAGTATTGATATTTTTTCAAAATGTATTAGTTCTATAATAGTATTAATATCTATTGGTATTTATTGAATATTTATCAATATGTATTGTTATAATAACAATATTTATTAATATATATTGATATATCCATTGATACTATACATGTTCTTAAAATTGATTTTGAATTTTTGATGTATTTCATCTTCTCAAACTTTATGCAAAATCTAATCTATATATAAAAGTAAAAAAAGTATCTAGTTAAGTGTATTTTTAATCAAAGAATAAAAATCAAGTTTTAAAAAATTTCATCTTCTATAAAGAACTATTTTGACTTTCAGGTTCCAAAATATTTGAATTACTATGATAGCCTATTTTGTGTACAGGTATAATTAATACATATCACTATTATTAATATTTATAAGTATCTCCAGAAGAGGTATAACTAATACTTATGGATTTTTTGAAAAATATTTTTACTACATATAGCTGAGTCAAAAATTATATAGCCAATGTACATACATTACAAGATATTAACAAAGGTCACTGTCTTAGTAGTATATATAAGCAAAAGCTTGAAGAAAAATTATACAATACTTTCAAATCCAAAACTAAAGTAGTGGTATAATTATAATCTAATTAGATTATAATTATATCACTTAGTTTGGATTATAACTATCCCAATAATAATCATTTGAGTAACAATTGGTTTATAAATTTGTTGTCACACTTGGGATAGTTATAGTCTACTATAGTCCTAGATGATAACAGCAACAAATTTCTGTTGTCAGACCACATGACAACTGTGACCAATTTCTGTCATCAGGTCACATGACAATAGCAGCTAACTTTTGTGCAAAGGTATCATTTTTGATATATTTATGGTTATTTTTTTGATATATCAAATTTCATGTGACAAAATAGTTATTTTTTTGATGCATCTATAAATAAAACAATTATAAACATATCAAAAAAATGACCATTTTTGTCACACGTATTTGATATATCAAAAAAATAATCATAGATGTCTCAAAAATGATACTTTAGTAACTTTTGTTATCAGATCACATGATAATGGTAACCAACTTTTGTCATCAGGTCACATGAATAAAAAAATATATCTGATGATGTATTCAGTTATGTGTTGTTATTTGCAAACACAATATAAGGATTATGTTCAAACCTGATATGTAATACCTTAGCTTTCTAGTTAATTTCTCAATGAGGAAGTAGTATGTTTATGAGAGAGTTAGGACAGGATCCCTATTTGCAAATGTATAGCATTTTACTTTTTTCACCACACAGCAAGCTTTTTTCTTATACCAATTTTTATATCATTTTGCTTAATTTTTTTTGAGCCACACTCGAATGACGTGTGATTTTTTTTTTGGCTACATCTTCATATTACTACTCTGTTTACTATAAAAAAAGGAGCAGGAAGCTAAAGGACAAATGTCCTGAAGCTGAGTGTGACGCGCATTAGCAATCCTAAATTTAATATTATTTTCTTTACTATTCTAATTCTCTTCTAAACTTTATTTAGTCTTCTGTTACTGTGAAGCATAAATCCCAAAGGGTGAATATGAAACAGTTGCGGAGCGAAGTGGAGTATAGTTAACATATTAGCTTTCAAAATTGTTATCAATATAAAATAGCTATATAAAAAAGTTATCAAAATTTTTATTGATATAAATAAGTCTAACCTCTAATAAAAGATTTTTAGTTATTTTGCGCTTCTTTTAGAATATCTAATTTTTACTATCTCTCTTAATGTTCAAATCAATTATTCTTATCATAAAGAATATCAAAAAATATCAAAAAGTTGGGACAAAGTCTAATCTCATTATATATATATATCAAAAAAAAAGTCGGAACAAAGTCTAACCTCAATTTGTATATCATTTTACTTTTCCGTCATCACTAGAAGCTTTTTTCTTATATCAAAAAGTTAGGCCAAAGCTCTAACCTCATTATATATATCGAAAAAAAGTTGAAACAAGCTCTAACCTCATATCTAGAATCGATTATTTTATATCTCCAGATTTTATTCCAACATACTTTATATATATATATATATCAAAAAAAAGTTGGGACAAAGTCTAACCTCAATATATATCGATATATCGAAAAAAAAATTGGGACAAGCTCTAATCTCATATCTAGAATCAATTATTTTATATCCCGAATTCTATTCCAATATACTTTATGTATAAAGTCTAATCTCAATATACATATATATCGAAAAAAGTTGGGACAAAGTCTATCCTTATAGCTAGAATCTAATTTTGAAAATTCACCATACAATCTACTATAGTAGTGAATCAGGTTGACAACTATTACAATATTCCCCTTCTTCTACATTTATCGGATGAAAGCATTCCCTGCAAAGAGTAATATTAAGATTTGTAAGCGTGTCTCTATGGGTATCTATTATTTCTTCATAAGTTTTTTCTCTATGAACAACTATTATTTTCCCATAAGTTCTTTCTCGTATATTTGATCGAAGTCTATTATAATATTGAGTAACATAAAACC